ACCGAGGCACATGGCAATACTCATCGCAATAAACAGTCTAATGTTGATTCCCGAGTGCCACCTATCGTGAGAGTATTCGAAATCCAGAACTGTGCGCCGACTTGATTTGTCAGTCTTAAAACACAGTATCATCTCCACAATATATCCCCTGCCTCGGTGGTCGAATTGGTTGAGACGCCCGCCTAGCGAGAGGGAGGTCCAGGTTCAAACCCTGGCCGAGGTGATATTTTTTCGCAATAAACTTAGAATAGAATATTTAAACACTATCACCCTGTCACGGCTCTGAGTCCTTTAAAATTCTCTGAAATTTGTGAATAACACATACGAGCCATACTAATTTATTTTAATAACATATTTGGCGTTGTAACTGATAAAAAAAATGACGTATATAAAATTGGAACCAAGGATGGAATATTGAAAGTGTGGTTTCCCCGTACTGAAATTGCAAAATCGGGCACTAATCTTATTACCATGGCTGACATTCCCAAAAATGTTTTTCTTACTTTGAAGTAAGCTGCTGGGAAGCAATCGGCAAGTGGTGGACAGGGATATAAAACATGCAATTGCAAAATTGCTAAAAATCAGTGTCAGACAAATAGATGTGCTTGTTATAAAGCAAAAATCCTTTGCAATTCTCGTTGTCACAGTAGCTCGTCTTGCATTAACAAATAGAAAGTGTAAAATTTATTAAATTGACTTCAGGCATGAATTGACTATGTTATCCTGTATTAACAAATAGTAATGTAGTAATAATTGTGTACTAAATAAATTGACAACGCATCGAGCCTCAAAACAAGCATTTCTCTAATCGCCTAAAGCGCACCAGGCCGTTAGGCGAAAAGCCGACTTGTCGTCTAACAGGCTGAATTTTTCAGACCATTAGACTATATCGTCGTCGATTAGCCTAACAGGCGGCATTTAGCTAAACGCCTAGGCTTTTAGCTAAATGGCTAATTTCGCTATCGGGCTACGACATATACATTATGTTTTATTTTTGATATATTGAGAAGAAATGAAACATTTATCTACATAAACTCGGTTGCATTTATGTTCACGGTTTTTTTGTGTTAAATCTGTATTCATATGTAGAGCTAATAAGTACAATTCAATTTGAATAACAAATGTATGAATTATTCAAACAATATATTTTATTTTTAGTATCAACATTCCAAGTAGATTTTTATATATCTGGTGTAGCACCATTGAGAAATCAGTTAGTATTGTTGGGATGCCTAAAAGAACCAGATGAAGATGGAAAGAATCAACGTCCAACTCTACATGTGGTTGAACCAAAATACCAGGATTTCTCAGTAATATGTGCAAACTCACTTACCTTACGTGGTTATAAGGAATACAGCTGCAATGATTACCATTTGGATTGTTTAAAGGAGGAAAACAGGTAGGTAATATAATCTATTATAAAATTGATGCATAGAAATCAATTTGGAATAATTTGGTTTCATGCGGTATTCGACTTTCAGTCAGTATATTCTGGATTTTTGACTGTGATTTTAAGTATTTTGCTTTTCTATTGATAGAAAAATTAAAGTTTGAAAACGAAAGAGTACGAGAAGTGACATTTATTTCAATAAGATATTAAAATCAATTTAAACATGCCGTAACCATTGAACTTACTTTTAATCGCAGTTTCTTGGTCAAATTGGTTGTCTCTATGATAAAATAAAAATAAAAATAAAGTTTAAGTTAATTTATAAATATTGTAAATTCTCAATATTTGAAAAATTAATTTGAAAACAATCAGTTTTCTATAGAATACTAATATGTAACAAAATATAAATAAATCGCCCAGTATTTCTGGAAAAGAGTTGAAGATTCAATTTCGATATAAATTAAAAATTTTGACACGTAGATTATGAATATGTATAGTGTCAAGTTGAACAAGGCTACCGTTGTAGAGATATAAACTGTGCAGGTCCTAATTTAATGTCCCACCCCAAATACTTTTTATTTTCGATCGCAGAAAAAAACGTTTCAGATAAAAGTTGTTTGGTTTGAAGGGGGATATAAGATGGTGCCATTAGTTTGACCTTGACGAGTTGCTTGAAGGTTACGTCAAGGTCACCTTAAATTTTTTTAATGGAACCCCTATTGTTTATTATACTATCTTATTCTACTAATTAATATGAATAACTTTTGTCTGAAACATTTCTTTATTTGCCTAATACTGTTTGAGATATTCAAGAAAAAATTGATAACTTTTTCAATGTTTAGCTTATGATATCTCGGTAGCTGTTTGTCGGAGGGAAAAGTAGTACAGGACTTTTTTTACTTGATTTGGTCTCAGGAATGTGCTATTGCAATAGTGCTCCAATTATTGAAAATTTTTGTGTATTGTGTTACAATCTATACAGCACAGATAGTTGCAGTTACATTGCAGAAACGTTGCAATCTTGCAGAGACATTGCAGGGATATAAAATTGCAAACTTTCGATAGCAATATTGCAGCAATGTTTCAAAAATAATAAAAATACTATATTTTCTATTTAAAAAAATTTTCTAATTACGAGAATTTTATAATGTTATTTTCGTTGATACCAATAATGCGCGAATTATTAAGTACTTGATCAGTGCGGTGTTGCTCGCAATCTCCATCTATTGCGAAGCGACATAATCTCCTTAGGTTGCTTCGCAATAGCTTACTGTGTATTGAAAAAGGCCCGGATGCATATGTAATTAGTGAGTTCTCTGCTTATGTACAACAACAATAAATTATTCCAAAAATATTGCACTGCAACATTGCTATAATGTTGCACTGTAATCTCTCTGAGGATGAACATTTCAACGTTGCTGCAATACTCCAGAAAGGTTGCAGCAATGTTGCGCAACGTTGCTGCAATATTGCAATCTTGCAATGTAACATTTCTGCAATCTTCCTGCAATCTTTCTGTGCTGTGTGGGAATATACTTATGTCCCCCTTTGAAGCAAACAACTTTTGTCTAAAACGTTTTTTTCTGCGATCAAAAATAAAAAGTTATTTGGGGTGGGACATTAAATTGGTACACCCTGTATAATATTACTCCAATTTATTGCGCTAGTTCACCAGTGTGCAGGAACAGAAAACAAACCTAATATTAACTCACGTAAGGTCCTGTGTACCGTTAATCATTTATTCGGACGATGAAATGGAGACCTTGTTGATGCCAGTAAATGAACAAACTGAAAATAATGTACAATAAATAGTGATATGAATAGTTGCCACCACGGATACTTCAATTAAGCCCAATATCAAATCAGAAAAAAATTAATGATTGGTACCAAACTTGAAAACTGAATCAGTTCAATTAATCATGAGAATTTTATCGAGTGTCATCTGATGAAAGGGATTTTTTCTGAAATAGTAGCTTTATTTAATCTAGCACTTACATATTCACAATCTATGCATCAAAACTTAATTTTACACCCAATCCGGATCTTTAACTCTGTTTTAGAAATGCTGGGCAGCCTACGGCACTTGGCTGCACTCTTTATCTAATATTTGATATAGAGAATAAAATAACTTTAATTTCAAATATATTTTACTTACATTTTTAGAACTTGTGAAATATATTTTTCTAATCTATTTGCATTTCTTGTGTTAAAAAATCCTGTAAGATTTCCTTGATGCTGCCTATTATTCATGCAACAAAATTATATTTACATTAAAATATTTACAGATTTTTTATTGTAAGTCCAAAGGATATTGTAGTGGCCAGTTTGTATGATACGGATGACAGAATCGAATGGTTATTGAGCCACGGAAAATTTGAGCAAGCCTTGGAAGCTGTCACAACAAACAATGGCAAGAATTGCAAGAGGCATACCGTATTAGATGTGGGACGTATTTATTTAGATCACTTGTTAGCATGTGAAAAATACAATGAAGCTGGAAAACTTTGCCTTAAAGTTTTAGGACGGAATAAAAAGTTATGGGAGGAAGAGGTCAGAAAAATATTGTTGCAAAATGATTGTATACCATCTGTTTTCAATAACTATTTTACGAACAGTACTATATTTACCATTATACTTAAACTATATCCATAAATTTGTTCGCTTGGGTGTAAATATAAGTTGTTTCTCTTTGCCGGGACAGGTTTACAAATTTGCTAGAGTGCATCAGCTGCGTTCAATCTCGTCTTACTTGCCTCGGGGTGACGTTATCCTCGATCCACTAATCTATGAAATGGTGTTGTATGAATATCTCAAAATGGATCCCGACGGTTTCCTGCAATTAGTTAAGGAATGGTCTCCGGATTTGTACACAGTGGCTGCGGTAGTTAACGGTGTATTGGAGCACTTACTGGTTCACAATCAGCGACAGAATGTATTATTAGAAGCGTTAGCCATTTTATACATCCACGATGGCAAATACGATAAAGCGCTTGCTATGTACTTGAAGCTGCAGCATAAGGATGTCTTCCAATTGATCCAAAAGTACCAGTTATATAATTCCGTATATGATATGATCGAAGGCCTGATGGATCTGGACACAGAACGTGCCATACAATTTTTTCTGGAGAAGGACAGAGTGCCGTCTGACGTGGTTGTACAAAAGTTGCAACATAATCATCGTTATTTATATTTGGTAATGAATCTATATATAACGCTTACTTTTTATATATAATAAATATGTGTATATTTACGAGAAACATTTGCCATATTATAATATTGTACTCAACCGCATGCAACATCCATATATTCTTCAATTTTGTTATTCTTAAGTACTGTGTAGACATGAGCCTTCGGAAAGATTTAATTACGTAGTTTTGTCCCTTTTTAGTATCTAGACGCATTAGATAAGAAAGACACAAAGGATTCTAAAGGCAAGTACCATGGCCTTTTGGTACGACTGTATGCTGATTATTCGAGAGACAAATTATTACCACTGTTACGTCGCTCTGATAATTATCCGATACAACAGGCTCTGGATATTTGTAGCCAGCGTCGATTTTATCCAGAAATGGTGTATCTACTAGGCAGAATTGGAAACACTTCGGAAGCCTTGGCACTTATGACGAGAGAACTCAACGATATGGAAAGTGCAATAGTATTCTGCCAAGAACATGACGACGAGGAGCTATGGAATGATTTAGTTAATTACTCACTTGACAAACCTGGTATAAATTGAATCATATTTGAAAAGCCAAATATTTGAAAGCTTTTGAAAAGCATTTTCAATGTTTAAATTAAAAAATTAATTCATGTAAGTAACAGTTTTTACACATTTCAGCGGCTATTACATTTCTTCTCCAAAAGATCGGCACCTATGTTGACCCCAGGCTTATGGTACAAAGGATAGAACCTACTTTGGAAATTCCAGGCTTAAAGAAAGCATTGGTTAAAATGATGTGTGACTACAATCTACAAGTGTCTGTGCAGGAAGGTTGCAAGAAAATACTGTCTAATGATTATTTCAATCTCCACGAGCGACTTGTTCGTTGTCATCAAAAGGGCATATTTATCGACGGTATGCAACTTTATAAAATCACTGATCTGTTGTAGAAAAATAGTTATATTTTTATAAAAAATTATAGAACTGACTTAAACAAGAAAATTTGAAAGAACTGTTCGGACAATTGTGGTTAACTCTTAAGTGCGCAGCTTTGCATCCATGTAAAGCAACTCTTCCTTACAAAGTTTGAACTGAAAATACACAGCTATGCATATCCCTAAAGGGTTTTCTCTGTTCTCTCTGTCGATTATCCACTAAGAACAAAAACAAGGTGGAGAGGGAGCTTTCAGATTAGTAAAGAATTATTAAATATTTTCTTAGAATTTCTTAGTCATTATTTATTTAAAAAATATTCAGAATGTTACAAAAGTTGCGCATTTAAGGTTTAAATGTATCTATCATATTAAACAATTTTATAAACTTATGTATAACAAATTTAATAAAACAGTAAACTACTTTTTACATAATGCAAGATCATCTTTACATTTGTTTTCTTTTGTAGATGATCAAATGTGTGGAGCTTGCCATAGGAAGATAATTGTAAGAGGTATTTACAAATAACTAGTTTTAATTAAACAAAATTCTAATTGATTGATGATTATAATTTGCTTTTGAATCTTTCCCCAGAGCCACGGAATATGGTTGTATTTTATTGTAAGCACTGTTTTCACGAAGATTGTCTACCCAATTTTGATTTGGTTGTATGTATAATATTTCTTTTTTGCTAATTTATTTTATTATTGGCTGGTTGCTATAGTGATCTTTATTTTTCAGGAAAATTGTGTAATATGCAATTCGCAGAAAGAGATAACGTCTAGCAGAAAATGATAAAGGTAAAGTTGTACTTTACTGTGCAATATATAGGATAGACAAAATTTTATATTTAAAAGGACTAATATCATATTTTAACCGAGCATTTTGGTGTAGCCAAGATTGTTGTATTAATGTATGAACAAATTTTTATACAGGGTGTCAGTTTCATTACTGACAAGAACAAAAAAATGATAGATTGGGTTAATTAAATGGATAAAAAGTCATGTACTATTTTGCAAAATTTGAAATAATTATTGTGTAATTAACAAAAATGTCTCAGCAAATGAGCGCACGAGGAACGGAGAGCCGGACTTGACAGAAATACAAAATGGTTAATTTGTTTATATCTCTCTAGATCAATACAGAAATTTTTGTTAATTACATGATCATTATTGCAAATTTTGCAAAATGGGACCTGACTTTTCTTCTCCGTTTGACCTAATCTATCATAGTTTTTAGTCGGGTCAATAATGAATCTGACACCCTGTATACTTATACATACATATGTATAATAAATAGGTTTTAATTTCTTGAAACAAAAGATTTATTTAAAAAAAAGATTTTAATTTTTAATTAAAATTAAGAGCTTTATTTTAAGAGGAATGCAAATGAAAAACCTCCATTTTAGGAAGAATGACTTTTGAATAATAACTATCCAATTACTAAAACATGTTATAAAACTTTATTTTGGTTTTTCTGAAGCTTAATAAATTTGTAATAAATAATTAATAAATTTGTAATAAATAAAAACATTTTTCAACATATTGCAAAAACAAAAAACATGTTTAATAATACTTATATTCTTATTGCTTAATAACAGTAGTTTTTGAGAAAAAATGGAAACTTCATATTCAAAATTAAATTTTAATACAAAACAATTACAATATAAATGTATCTAGGTTAGTCATTATTAGTACTTATATTAGTGTCTTTATGGGCTTTTTCAGTCAAATTTACTGCAGTTTTAGTACATATTTGGAATTTTTTTCCAGAGATTGTAAAATTTTTTTATATTTCTCTATTTTTCTCTTTTAATATATTTAAAGTTTAATTAAAAAAAAATTTTTAGTGGATTTTCTGATGCGCTTTACATTGTTTATCAAACCTATAAGATTGTAAATTTATTTATTTTCTTTTTAAAATACAAAAATTTAAAGATGTGAATTAATTTACATCCTCGAATTAAGGCCCTTGGTTAGATGTACAATCGTAAAGTATATAATAACGCAGAAAAATATAACTTAGATATTTCGACATACATACATATGTATAATACAAGAAGAAACTCATGATTTTTCGCTTACAGATGTCAATTTGATACAATCGTAAATAGAAAATAACAAAACTGATTTTTGTGAACTAATTGAAAGTCCTTACAATTTCATTGCTTGCTAATAACAATGATATTGTATTTTATTTATGAATTATGCACATTTGCATTTTTGTCTTTAGTGGTTTAAATTAATATAAAGATATGTTTGTAAGAAAAGAAAGTAAAAGTTCATAAAAAAAATATTCCATATGGCTGTTAACTTTTATAAACTATTTTGTGAGTGTATAGAATTAAGTTGGTATCTGTTTTTTAAGAACTTTGTTACCTGAGCAATAATTTATCACTTTCATGAATTTTGTACTTTATACAGATATGACAAAAACTACAGGGTCTGATTAATCTCTTGGTAGATGCAGATTTATGTCAATATCAGATTGCTTTGCCAATATGTTGATGGTGTTCCACACCTTTGATTCACGGGCAAATGTTTTGAAGTGCTGTATTGTAAAGTCTATGACATCGACAGGCTTTACTGTTGAAAAAATAACATTGGAAAATAAAATATTTAACAAACAGATTGAGTGTTCGAAGTTTATTGGGTAAACTAAATTACCAACAAGAAGTGTCTGGATATAATCTGCAATTAACTGCTTCATCTCAAGATGATCCGCTACATAATCCATGTACTGAGCAACGTAACAAGACTATTAAAAAAGAACATGTGTAAAAATTTATTTGTCAAAATTTACATATATAGTGTCCTAATTTAATAAGTAGGTTGCCGTCACATGTAGGTGAAGTAGGCTGCGTCCGGGGAGACACTATTAAGGTGCATTTTCATGCTGACGCTTGACGCTCACTTTGTGCGTCAAACTAGTTACTTTGGGGACTTTTTTGAATTGTAGCGTTAAGTGG